AAGGTCAAGTTCTCCCTGAGACTCATTAGGACCAGCAATGCTTCCGAGCACTCGGGGCAGAAGCAGAGCGCCATCTTGGGGTCACGGTGTCCGCGGGGCGTAGATGCCGAGGGCCCGGGGGTCTGTGTGTGGACAGCCGGGCTTCTTGCCTGGCTGAGGGTGCTCCCTGCATCCTGGCTGGGCCTCCTGCTCTCCCCCAAAGCCTGCTGGCCGTGCTGGCTGGGCCCCTGTGCTAACGACCTTCCCCTGGGGCAGGAGAGAGGCCCGAGATATTAAACTGACAGCTGATGGCTGGGGCAGCTCACGTGAACATCCCACACCAGGCTGAGCAGCTGAGGCCTTTCTCTGTGAACCTTCATTAAACTGGCGTGAATTAAAATAGACTCTTCGAATAAGCTTCACCCCAAAGTCGGAAGGAGTCAGACTCGGGGACACACAGCTCTGCCCCGGCCGTGGAACCAAGGCCCATGGCTCCCAGGGACGGAAACCAGCTTCAGGGGATGGAGGCGCCCACGGGGCCTCGTGGGGCCTGGTGCTGCTCAGAACGGAGCTGGGGCAGGGCTCGTGGTTTAAGCTGAGAGGGACCTGCCACCGCATGTGAGTGGCTATGAAATCCGGAGGCTGGTGCGACCGGTGCAGGGGCTCTGCCAGGGGCCGCCGGGCGCAGGGGCTCTGCCAGGGGCCGCCGGGCACAGGGACCTCAGCTCCTGTCCCCGACGCTGGAGGGGGTGCTGCCCACTGCAACCTGCCACTGCAGGAGCCTTAAAAATGCCCAGATGGCAGGGCCTGAGCAGCTGGCGGCAGACACGCTCCCGGGGCACCTGGCTTTGAAACTCACCAGGTGGCGGTCAGTCTTGGAGCTGCCAGAGGCCCAGGCCTGGAGCCTCAAGGGCACAGGGCGGCTCTCCTTCGGCATAAAGTGGCACCTTGTCTGTTCCAGAGTGTGAAACAGAGGTCACCTCGCTGTCAGCCAGGCACTCTGCCACGGGGGGCTGGTGGCAGGGGCCTGTGAGGCATGGGCACCTCACTGAAGTCAGGCCCGTGCAAAGAATTCAGAAGGAGAAGGGCCGCGCCAAGTGCCCCTGGGCCCCTCCCTTCCCCTCCTGTGACCCCCACAGTGACCAGTGCCTTCTGAGGGGCAGCCCTGGCACCATGCCCAGCACTTGGGACTGACACTCTGGGCCCCTCCCTGTATGGCACCCCAGGGTATTACTCTCTCTCGCTGCAGTCAGTAGGGTACGGGTAGGGTTTCCCTGAGGAAGCAGTGAGACCATGCATGGGCAGAGCCTGGTATGACCCCCAGCAGGCATGTCAGAGGGCACCCAGTGGTCATTGTTGGGGCTTCACTGCTGGGAATACAACCAGCAATCCCTGGATATTTGTACAAACTTCGTCTCCAGGTTTTGTGGCTCAGAAGCACACTCCACGGTGACAGGACTGGCCACGCAATCTGCAGGGCCTGGTGCAAAATGAGAATGCGGGCCCCTTGTCCACAAACTGCTACAATTCCACGGCAGTGGCAGCAGGGCATGCAGCTGAACTCGGGGCCCTCCTGAGCTGGGCCACAACAGCACAGGCCGCACGCCCGAAGCCAGCCTGAGCAGTGACGTGCGGCAGGTAGAAGGGACTCGGGTGTCTATGGCCACCCAACACCCACACCACATGCACACACACATGCCTTTCCCTGCACGTAGCTACCCTGCCACGTGGGCCACACACACTGATGGGAGAGGCTTGCAGCCCTCCTTGTGCTGCGACAGGTCAAAGGTTGGGTCCCAGGCGTGGTCACCCGCTCGCCTCCAGCGCAGACCCCGAGCCGGTCTGTGTCAGGACCACCAACAGCAGAACCGAAGTTCTCCTCCGGAGCGCCGTCCACTGCCCTGTCCCCGTCCTGCAAGCACATCTGGGCTCCCGTGTGTCCCTGGCTCTTGCATCAGTCCTCTGGGACAGGGAACGGCCTGAGGGGGACTAGGAGAGAGGCGTGGCTTGCACGCGTGTGCTTGTGTGTGCGTGCACGCAGGTAAGGATGTGATATGTGCAGATGCGAGTGTCCGGCCTTGCTGGGCCTCCCTGGAGGCGCCACCAAGAACGTGGGAGGGGCCCAGGGGCCACCCACAGGAACCACAGTCAGAGAGCGGCTGGCGGAGAATCTCTCCCGGACCCTTCGGGCTGCTGACGGTTCTGACGCCCCCTCTCTCCGCTTTGCAGTACGCAGGGGAAGTCCCCGAAAACCGGGTGGAGACCGTGGTCGCAAACCTCACGGTGCTGGACCGAGATCAGCCCAGGTCACCAAACTGGAACGCCGTCTACCGCATCATCAGTGGGGACCCCTCGGGGCACTTCACCATCCGCACGGACCCCGTCACCAACGAGGGCATGGTCACCGTGGTGAAGGTGGGTGCTCACCTCGCTTCCTGCCAGGCGCCCCTGGCACGTGCCCCAGGACAAGTTCAACAGAAATGATCTTCACCCCTAACATCCAAGAACACAGGATGGCACCCAACACGCTGGTGGCAGAGGCAGCCTTCACGAGGACCTGGTCATGTGTCCTCCAGGGACTTGGCAGACTGACCCGTCCACCCCCCAGAGTTACCCTCTCAGGCCCTCCCTGAAGGCTAGCTCTTTAGCCTGTCATGGGTGCCCTCCACCGAACACTGAAGGTGACCACCCTTGCATTCCTGAGTCGCAGCCACGTGGTCACGGAGGAGGGTTCTGTAATCCGTGGCAGGGCGTGCTTTGCTGCCACCTGAACATTTTCCCTGTATTTTTTGGAGCAGTTTAGGCCAATGCTTTTCCTTTCCCAGACTGTCTCTATCTAGGCTTTGGTACCAAGATTACAGTCTGCAGAAGTGTGCGGGGGTGGGGAGGGCTTGGTTACAAAGGCAGCAGGAGGGGACCTGGGCTGACTCCTGTGTCTGGTCATGGTGGCGGGTATATGACTCTACTGGTCAAAATCCACAAGTGACTCTTGGTGTATGCAAAATTTTTTAAATGTTTTATTGACTTTAGACATAGAGGGAGGGAGAGGGAGAGAGAGAAGCATCGATGTGAGACAGGAATATCAATCAGCTGCCTACTACATGCCCCCTACCAGGGATCGAGCCCACAACCCAGGCATGTGCCCTGACCCGGAATCGAACCAGTGACCTTTTGGTGCAGAGGACGACGCCCAGCCAGCTGGGTCACGCTGGCCAGGGCTGCATATGCAAATTTAAAAATAAGTTTTAGAACACTGAGCTGAGAGTCCACCAGCCCCACGGTCCACACAGTGTCATGGTCACTGTGTCCCAGGCAGAATTCAGCAGTAGGCACCACACTTTCTCCATTTTTCTTTCATTTTTGCCTTTATTTCCTACAGGGCTTTCCTCTGAGATTTCCACTTAAAGTGTGCGTAAGGCGACATGTTTCATCTTAGCGTTTTCAAATCGGGTTTGCATTCTTTGATAGGGACCCCATCCTTTCGGACACTCGCCTTCTGAAGGGGTGGCCCGGAGGGGCTGGTGCGTGACAGGGACTTGGAAATGCAGGGACAACTAGGGAACCCAGCCCAAGGGGAAGTCGGTGCCTTGGGGACATTTGTTCTTGGGTCCCATGCTGGGTCTTCGTTGTCGTGCCCCTGCCACGCCGGCCACCCTCTCGGTGCTGTTTCCCACATGAGGCTGTGGGGGAGCTGCGCCCAGTTTCGCACTCACAATAGAGCAGATCCTGGGTGGAAAGGCCTTGGCCCGCGCCTGCCACGGAGCAGGAGCTCAGCGACAGCCAGGGCAGCTGCAGGCGTTGTCACAACCTCACGGGCTGGCTGCTCCCCAGCTCGTTCTCAGTGCCGTGTACACGCACTGCGGCCCCGCCCGCCACCACCCGCCCTGCAGGGTCTGTCTCCACAGAGGAACATGGGGCAGGGATGTCGAGTGACCTCATGGCAGGTGCATACTGGAGGTCCCAGCCCAGCAAGGCGGGCAGAGCGCCTCTCCTCGGACACACCCAGTGTCTAGTTCTGGCCCCCGTGTGCCCTGGACGGGGACGCTGCCCTTCTCTGAGGGTCCTGTGCGTCTGGGGCTGATGCAGCAGGGAGGGCGTGGAGACGCGGGGGCGCCTGGGCACAGGTGTCGGGGCTCGCCTGGTCCTCAGCCTTCTGCCTCAGCTCCTGGCTGCACCTCCCTCCCACCCTGCGGTCCAACTGGCTCGCTGTCAGAGGAAGTCCACAGTCATCTCAGGGGTCTTCTGGGACCCGCCCAGCCCCACCAGCCCCCCAGCTCTGTCCTCCGGGTGAACAGGACCTGGGGGCTCCTGGAGCCTCACTACCTTTGAGCTGCGGCCAAAGAGGGGCACACAGCTGGTCGGCTCTCAGACCCCTCGAAGCAGCATCTGTCACCACGCCCCACCCTCAGGAGCCCCTGTCTATGCTCTCCTCCCTCACACCCCCTCCTGGGGTGTCCAAGGAGACACCCCAGCTCAGATCATCAGGTTCTCCCAGGTCTTCACCTGGGCCTTGGGGTTTCAACGCAAACCCAACACTGGGCTCTGCTTGCCTTCGTGACAGGGACTCCGAGGCAGTGAGTGAGCTGTGGGCCTGGGGACAGGGACTCTGAGGCAGTGAGTGAGCTGTGGGCCTGTGGACAGGGACTCTGAGGCAGTGAGTGAGCTGTGGGCCTGGGGATAGGGTGTCTGAGGCAGTGAGTGAGCTGTGGGCCTGGGGACAGGGCGGGTCAGAGGCAGTGAGTGAGCTGTTGCCCAGGAGCCTGAGGCGGTTCGGGTGGCAGGAACACTGGGCAGGGGTCAGTGAGGGGGTCGGCTTCCCCTGCACCATTTTTCCCACCAGCCCCTGGCAGTTCTTGGAGTCCTGGCTCCCAGTGCATGACTGGCCTGCTGCCCTGTATGCCCCGGGGTGCCATGCTGGAGCCAGCCCCGCCCGCACACCCTGCCCCTCAGCTTTGAGCCAAGGGTCCCGCCACAGCGAGAGGGGGAAGCCCAGCTGCGATGAGAGCAGGGCGCGTCGGATCACCCCTACGTCCCCAGGCACGTGTGGGGCACCGCTGACCCAAATGGCAACATGCTGAGCGCCGCGAGGGGTGGGACCTCAGCCATGAGGACACGTGTGCCGTGGAGGGAGGCGGCAGGGACCACCCCTTCCTTCGGTGGACAGGAGACCACGCCTGGAGAGGAGGAGGGCTCCCCAACATCACGGGGGCTGTGGGAGGACAGTGGGGGCATCAGCACCAGAGCCCTGACCTCCGCCACTGCCTCTAGCTTCTCCTGCGGGGCCACTCCTGCTTCCATGACCGGCGTCTGTCCTTTTCCAGGCCCATCGGCTTCCGTACTTAATCCCTCCCCTTTGCACTTAATTCCCTGTCAGTAGACTGCAGACCCGGTCTAGTCAGTGAGGGGGCGGGGAATCCTGGAAATCACCACACACGGGTTTTAAACAACAGGAATGGGTTCTCTCGTGCTCCTGAGGCCAGAAGTCCGGAATCCAGGTGTGGGCGGGGCTCCCGCCAGAGGCCCGAGGCCCGGCAGCTCCTGCCGCCTCTCCCTGCTGGTGGCTGTCGGCATCTGGTGTCCCTGGGCTCCGGCTGCATCGCCGATCCCGCCTCTGTCTTCACCTGGCCTCTGCCCGTGCCTGTCCGTGCTCTGTCTCCCTGCCTTCCTCTCGCAAGGGCACCTGTGCTTGGGTTGGGCCCAGCCTCAATCCAGGGTGACTTCATCTCAAGATCTATAACTTCATCACATCTGCAAAGACCCTATTTGCAAATAAGGTCCCATTCACAGGTTCCAGGGGGACGTATCTTTGGGGGGCCACCATTCAACCCACGATGCCTAGGGGGACACTGTGAAAGGCCACGGCCAGCGTGGCTTTTGGGTTCCAAGGTTTGGAGAAAGAGCTGACGCACAAATTGACACACAAGACAAGAAACATTAATTTTGAAATTATGGAGGAAGCCAGGGAAAACTCAACTGTAGTCCAGTTCCCTTGAGTCTCCGTTCCTGTCTGCTTTTATTTACTAGAACACACAATTGCCTTTTAGGAATGTAAACAGACATATCAGTGGTAATGTTTAGTAAACAGTAAGATTGTCAGGTTTTGGGGGGAGTTTGCTTTAGGCCATTGAGTCAGCAGCAGGTAATAAAATGCAAATATTCACCCTATGAATATCAAAGCCCAAACTCAGCCTTCTGGGGGACTCCTGCATTTATAGTCATTACTGTTGATCCTGGTTTCCAGCAGGTCACGCCTGGGCAAATGGCACTCAGCTGGGGGAACAGGACAGGCACGGCATCCCCAGGCCTGATGACAGCCAAGCCATGGAGGGGAGTCCAGCTACGAGGAGGGCAGGGTGTCGGGGTCTTTCACCCCAAACTCTCTCCTCCCATTGTCAAACCCAGCAGGAAGCCAGAGACAAGGCAGCCTGGGGGATGGCATCCTTTGGGGCCAGTCTCCTGGGTACAAAGCAGGGAAATGTAGCCACAGACAGGGGCGGTGGGAGCTGACCCTCCAGCCCCGCGGCACCCCCTCCGTCCACCCCACGCACCTCTGCAGCTCACACGATGTCGTCTCTCATCCCAGGCCGTGGACTATGAGCTGAACAGAGCATTCATGCTGACCGTGATGGTGTCCAACCAGGCGCCCCTGGCCAGTGGGATCCAGATGTCCTTCCAGTCCACAGCGGGGGTGACCATCTCGGTCATGGACGTCAACGAGGCCCCCTACTTCCCCTCCAACCACAAGCTCATCCGCCTGGAGGAGGGCGTGCCCCCGGGCACCGTGCTCACCACGTTTTCGGCGGTGGACCCCGACCGCTTCATGCAGCAGGCCGTGAGGTGGGTCCGAGGACAGGGCGCCCTGCCACTCAGGCCCTTGGACCAGGGCTTTCACACTCAGGCCCCCACTTTCCAGGAGGGGAGCCTGAACGCCCCATGAAACCTGAAACCAGAACGTCCCCCTCCCTTTGGGGCTCAGGCAGCCCAGACCAGCCGTGTCTTTCCAGGCGGGAGCCATGGGCCCAGTCCTGCGGACAGGCAGCCGCACGGGCGACGCCACAGCCACGGGGCTGTCCTGACTGACACACAGTGTCCGGAGTCGGGCTGGGTCCTGCTCCCGCCTCGCTCTATAGCTGCATGATTGCAGGTCCCTCGCCCCCCTGTGCCTCAGTTTCCCCACCTGTGAATGAGGGTGATGAGAGAGTCTGTCCCAGCGGTCCTTGTGAGGGTGTGGAGCCCGCCGACCTTGGTGACCATGAGTCCCTGTTGTCACCGTCCCTCCGTGGGAGGACCCTGCACAGGGCTGGAGCCACCTGGTGCCCCAAAGAGTGGGCTGACAGCCCACAGGGGCTGGGCTCCAGGACAGACCCATGCTCCCAAGCCCTCGGCTCACCCCCGCTTCTCCCTCCACAGATACTCAAAGCTGTCAGACCCGGCCAGCTGGCTGCGCATGAACGCCACCAACGGGCAGGTCACCACGGCGGCCATCCTGGACCGCGAGTCCCTCTACACCAAAAACAACGTCTACGAGGCCACCTTCCTGGCGGCTGACAACGGTGCGTCCCGCCCCGGGTGACTGTGGGTGCTCACCCATGCCTTGGGCTCTGGCAGGGAGACTGAGGGAGGCCCACCGGCACCCAGAGGGGAGGCTGCAGTGGGAGGCACAGTGCCAGGTGCCCTGTGCACAGCCGGGCCCCCAGGCAGTCATCCTCCCCGCGTTTATTCAGAGCATCGCCATTCTACCTGCCCACCGACTCTCACCATCCGACCATTCCCACAGTCGCCAGGGAGGAGGAGGCGGGAGGGAGCCAGGGATGGTGCGGTCAGGCTGGGTTTGTCCCCGCCCTGTGGTGGCTGAACTGCTTCTCAGCCTCCCCCCTGAAACTAAGGCACATGCACGTTTCCGCCGAGCAGCGCTGGCCCAGGACCCTGGGGACTGGGCCTGGCTCCAGCCAGCACGGCTGCTGCTGTGACGGCTCCCTGACCCCTCTGTCGCCTGGCACTGCTCCTCAGTGGACACGCAGACAGACAGCCTCTCTGCGTGGCCGGCATTCCAGAGGCCGGTGTGTTCACTAGAACCAGGGTAAGCTGCATGGTAATAACAGTAATTCAACCCGATTAGGCTGGCGGCAGGCAACCAGGGTCCGGCCTGAGAGATGGCTCACTCTGCCACGCCGTGTCTTTGGGGAGCTGCCGCGTGGTGCAGAATGGCTCCTGGTGCTCCAGCCATCATGACCACGTCTGGCAAGCAAGAGGAGCAGGGAGGGCAAGGACGTCCACTCACAGCTCACGAAGGCCAGAACTTAGTCTTGAAGCCATGTCTCGCTGCAAGGGATGCTGAGAAACCTGGCCTTCCAGCCAGGCAGGGGTGACCCCAGATAAAACTGAGGCCCCGTTCTTTTTATGAAGGAAGAAAGGGGACATGGGTGTTGAGGGAGACTTAACAGTCTACCCAGGAAGATGGGTGAGAAGCAAGTTGACCAGGTCATTTCAGGAGCAAGAAGTGCTGGGAGAATCAGAATAGGGGAGGAGAGGGGCGGCCAGGGCCTCCTGCAGTCCCTGGGCTCTGAGGAGCTGCCTGGGGGCCACGACCTGCAGGACCAGAAGGACACACCGGGGAAATGGGCGGAGGGGAGGCCCAGAGTCAGGAAGCAGCCTGTGCAGGCCACGGGGCACGCTGTGCCTGCTGGGTTCTAGGCACAGCTGTGCGGCTAGAATTCGTGAGGCTCGTGCCATAGCCCGCGAGAGCCAGGTCCTGGCAACCCCCGCCGCCTCCTTCCCGCCTCCCTGACAGCAGGTCCATGAAGGCGCTGCAGCCACCTCTTCTCCAGCGGCTCCGCCCCAGGTTAGGTTAGGCGGTGACTGTCCATGGCTCCGTGGCTGGAGTGCGGCATGTGGAAGACCCCAAATGGAGCGCCAGCCGTGGGGCAACAGGACCTGTCGGTGCTGCTCACACGGCTTCTAACGGCAGCACCGAGCTGCGTGGCCGTGAGGATCGTGAAGATTAAAGAAACGTGCTCCACTTGTCTCGGCAAAAAACATGGTTGCTGGTGTCGGGGTCAGGAGCTGGCCTCACAAGGCACAGCCGCTATCAGAAATTGTTGCCACCCCCAGCCGTCCTGGAGGGCAGATAGCACATGCTTCTGCGGCTGCCCAGCCTGCGCCCACCATACCATTGCCTGGGCCAAAGCATGGGGGTCGCGAGGGGCGGGGAGGCCCTGAGGAGCTCTGGGCCTCAGCAGGGCGTCTGTTAGCACCTAGAGGCCAGCAGAAGCTGAAAAACTGCTACGGAGGGCGTGGGCAGAGG